TCTTGACTTCTGAACTTTGCTTTTGGGGAAACGCTACCCGTCTGGTCTCACTGGGCTGCCGGGCTGGAGTCCGTTCCCCTCTGCACTATGACTACTTCACAGGCCTCTCTACTGCTTGGCTCAAAGTTGATCCTCTGGGGTGAGCTCAATTCTAGGGTTAAAGTGTGTCTGTGGGGGCACAGTCTCTGGGGCTTATCTTATTGCCTCAATGCTCAGAAACTTCCATGGTGATTACTGAGTGACCCCTACTTCTCACAAATCCTATTAGCTTCTCCTCCTCCTCCTCCAACCTCTATTATTCTAGCCAAATAGTTGTTTTATTTACTAAAAATGTGCAATCTTATTTGTCTCTCTGTGCCTTTGTGTATTCCATCTCCTGGTCAGAGGAACTTTGCCATCTTTTCTTTAAGGGCTACCCCAATCCTCACCATCTCTCAATTAATTCCTATCACATTTATTATTTTTCCCAGTCATTTGGCTTAGACCATGTAACTTTGTGATTGTAACTTTTTAGGATTGCAAAAGTGTCTCACTCACTAGATGTGCTCTTTGTGGGCAGGGATCATGGGAGGTTCTATGTGAACAACCTACACCTCACATGATGTTACATACCTGGGATCCTGAAAAGCACTATATGTTTATAAACACCTCTAATTCTTTAATATACTGTGCACTGTATCAAACCAAGTAAGTTGTTAAAGATTTTTTCCCCTTTAAATTACTGACTATTGCTTAGAAAAGTCCTCAGAAACTTGCTCAAAATTATATTTAAAATGATTCTAGCACTAAAGGGCTCCCTCCTTCTGTGTAAAGAACTTAACTCTTTTTATGTTAATGGAAAACTGACATTCTTTAAAACTGTGCAAAACCTGACCACTAAAAATAACTGTCAAATTAGGTCAGGCAAGGAGCTTACCATGTTGAATATAAAATTCATCACCTGAAATGTAAACCCTTACCTAATTCACAATAAAAAGCTTTTTAAAAAAACAATGCTCAAGTTCACTGTAATACTTTGTGGCAAATAACTTAAAATGATGACGTATATTTTAAATATAAATTACCATCACATGAATTTCCACCTCTCTCTTTGAAAGCAGTTCCTGGAGGAGTCCTATTGCATCTGGTTGCCAGGCATTCCCGATCTATTTGGGATTAATAAACGTTTACACTTTGACAAAACAAAGAGCAGGAAGCAAATTAAGATACACAAAAGTTGCCATAAACAGATATGACTAGACCAAACCCCACTGCCATCATGTTGATTCCAACTCATAGGGTTTCTGAAGCTTTAAATCTTTACAAAAACAGGCAGCCTCATCTTTCTTCTAAGGTGGGTTTAACCACCAACCTTGTGGTTAGCAGCCAATGCTTGACTGACAGCGCCACCACAGCTCTTCAAATCTTAAGAGTGAGACAATATCAACAAGCAGTTTTCAGAGAATATCAAGGCTATATGATAACAACAACCTCAAGAATAATTTGACTAAGCTCTCCCCAGTGGAACACATTTAAAACATTTTAAACTTTAAAACCATAAGCCTACATTAAAAAAAAGTATTACATTGAAACTTTTTTTTTTAAATGAACGAAGCAATTTATTAACCCAGCATTTGTTCTAATGTTTCTTGTTGGCAGCTGCCACCTGTCCGGCGATTCAGTCCAGATCTCTCTGTCCCTGAGGTGTCAGTTTGCGGCTGCTGTCTTGGTCCTTCTCCACCATCTTGAGCCCCTCCAGGGCTTGAAGGACCAGGTGGGCCACGCTCTTGGAGCCCTGGCTGAAGTGGCTGGGCATGACACCATTCCTCTGCCGACCCCGTAGATCTTGGTCATGGAGCCGACCCCAGCGCCACCCTGAAGGTACAGGTGCCGTGCTGTGCAGGCAGCTCGCGTGTAGAACCAGTTCTCGTCATAGGGAGCAAGCTCTTTATGCTTGGCCAACTGGACTGTGTCTACCCACTCAGGGACTTTCAGCTTCCCAGACCTTTCGAGGAAGGCTGCCAGAGCTCTGACGAACTCCTGCTGGTTCACGTCTTTTACAGTCACTCCAGGCATCCTGCGGCCTCCACTGCAGCAGGCCAGGGGAAAAGGCTACATTGAAACTTTTAAGAGAGACCAATATTCTAATGTGGAGCTTGTCTAATGCTTAAATAGGAATTTGTTGCGGGGCAGTAACTGTTATATTTTGATGTGTCGAGAGGTATTCATGGTAAGGAACTGAGGCCCGCAGTCATGGTAAGGAACTGAGGCCCGCAGTCACGTCAATGTGTCAGTTGTGGATCTTTCCTGCCTGTCAATTCTTCAGATGACTCCAGTATCTCTTAAGAGACTCCAAGCCAAAACTGCCCTGCTAAGCTGCTCTGAGCAGCTCTGAGCCACAAAAAGTGTATAATAAATGTTTATTGCTACATTCGGTCACTAAATTTCGGGGCAATCTGTCAGACACAGATACCTAATACTTTTAAATCTGATTTCCATTTTCAAATGGGTTGTAATTTTATATGATGAAGAAATAGGAACATATTATGCCTCTTCACTCATTCCAATTTTCATACCCATTAGTATAATTTTGTCGTTTTCCCCCCACAGAGACCTTGTACCTCTTCTTAAACTTTATTTCTACACATTTTATCATTTTGTTGAAATGGATTTTATTTTAGACTCTAATTCCTTAAAATGTTTAAAATTAATATCCTACAAATTCAAGTGTACTCACAGGTATGGTATTATGGAGCTGACATGGAATACAAAACTGGGGTTTATCAGGGTACAGCAAAATAGGGTAAAGATGACACTGTGGAATCTTCTCCATGAATCCATGATCTAAATATTGTACCTGAAACATGCCAAGTAAAGTTTATAACTCAAAAGTTATCACTAAATGCCAGTGGGACCCCTGGCATTATTATTATTATTATTATGAAGAAGAAGAGAAAGAAGGCAAAAGGAGAAGAAGAAAGGCACCCTGGAAAGATGGGTCATTGAAAAAAGCAACACTGTGCTCTTTCATCCCCCTAGAATGCTCAAACCTCAGAATATTTTCTTACACAGAACTTAGAAATTGAAGCTTAACACCTCCTGTAGGTTTTATTACCATTACACGTTCCTTTTGACTAACCCTCCTCTGTAATACTTTGATTTTGATAACTCAAAATTTGAAAACAACAAAATCAACATATCATCATTTAGTTGGTCTGCCTTGGCAATTATCTTTTAAAAGATGAAACAAATTGAATAAAACACCTCAATATGTTCAAGGAAGTTAGTGTGACTATAATTTCATGAAATATTGGCTTCCCCTATATATTTATATAAGTTTTGTGTACAGAATCACAATCATATGATACAATCTATTTCTTAATGTGGACCACAAGACAAATCTGAAGGCTATCAGGATGTTGTAGTTATGTTGTTAGGTGCCAGCGAGTAAGTTCTGACCCATGGTAACCCTAGGAATGAAAAATTTATTGCATACACCTGAAATGCACAACAAAAGAAAAAATGGTGATGACTTAAAAAGTAAAATACCCTTAGATAAATGATCACAAATGGAGATATTGAGGTAGCACAAAGGATTCAAAGTAAAAATCTACTAATTTAATTATTGGAATTAAACTTATGCATAGTTCTTAATTTATAAGATTCAGTGCCAACTAAATTTCAATTTACCTTGTATGACAGAAAAGCATAAGGGTTATTTGAACAATTCAAATTGTGGAGAAAATGATCTATTTGCATATAAGCACATGAATCTCTAAGTATCCAGATGCTTAAGTACTCCATCCTTAAAAAATCAGAAACCATTTTACTGCTATTATAGCCATTAAAGTTTAATCCAGCAGAAAAAGCACAAGACTTAAAGTCAGTAAATCAGATACTTGGTTACGATGAACTCCATGATCACCACACATTAATTGTATGACTCTGGGCAGATCATTAACTCATATCTCCATTTTCTTATTAATAAATGGGAATAGCCGACACCTATGATTACAGAATGCTCTGAAAGCATAAAATATGAATGCACATGTAAAAAAAAGCATACAAATCTGACGTGCTCTATAATGTCAGACTTCATCGAAAGAAAGAAAATTCCTGTCCAAGTCAAAACAATTGACTTTAATCTTTAATTATTTTATCTTTCTTACTAAAACTAAGTTTCAAGTGCTGAATGTGTTAAAGTACTTTATTAATTTTACTGCTTTACTTGTATAAATGTGGGTATTTTCATCTCTTATCTATTATACATTTTTCTTCCCCAGAGTACACAGCCATGTCTCAAGATTTTGAGTAAAACTTGAGTGCTGATCTCAATATTCTGGCAAGGTGAAATAAAATAGCCCTCTCCCCAGGGAGAATTCGGGTTGCACCTTGCAAATTTCCTACATGCAACTGAAAACGAAACAAACTTAAAAGTTACAAATGTAAGTGTAGTGCATCTGGTCTTCAAAAACTAATAAATTTATTTTTAAAAAGTTTTACTTAAATTCCTGTATGTTTAGATTCAAAGATAACTTAGCCTTAGAATAGTCACTTACCCTGATGGTGCCACTGACAACTTCCATTACCCTGCCTCGGTACCACAGAGTATCTGACCCTCTTACGGCACAGGCTTCTCCTTTTTTCCAGAAGTAAGGCTCCAAAAGGCCAAGACATTTTAAATTATTCTGAATTTCATTCATCATTTTCACTAGATCAAATTCTGAAGGAATCATTAAAATAAAAAGCATTTAGGAAAATTCACTTCTGCTTATCAATATGAAGTCATTACCAGTCTTTGATAACTATAGAACTTATGAAATAGTTCAAAGATTTAAACACTAATGTACACATAATAAAGCTACAATGAAACTCTACTTCAGTCAGTAGCTTCTATGGTTCAGAATGCTACTGATCTGTAAATAATTAGCCTGAGCTCTGATTACAAAAGCAAGCACTATCCTGACAGCACAAATTTCACAAAACACTCTGAATATACACAACAGGCTTATAGAAAAGAACCACCACTTTTAGGTACTTGCCAGCTTGATAGTATGCCTAAATAAAATATAAGCTATATATTACTTGATACTTAGATAAAGCATAATTCTAATTTTGCTACTAATTTCAATTTGGCTCATTATTTACAAAGTAACTAATATCACCTAATTGATACCATAGAAGGCAAGTCATGATGGAGTCAGTTCTACTACTTCAGCTGTGGGATCTTGGGTAGTTTCTTTATCTCCTTAACAGTTTAATCTTTTGGAAACTGGAGGCTTGTTCAAAGTATTTGATCTGTCATACACTTTCCAAATTTTCTTCTTATACTTACAGTAGCACTCACATAATTGTAGCACAAACCACATTGCCATATCAAAACTCACTAAATTATTTTTATGTGCTAGGCATTGTGAAAATAGCTTTGCTTGTGGTATTTCATTTAGCCCTCACAATAACACTTTGAAACTGAGATTCAAAAAGGTTACACCGTTCTCTACATCATTTCAATCTGTGTCCATCTTGCTAAAGCACTGGTGCTAGTAGTTACTACTTTTACTCACTAGCCTTACATCATATAAAAGATCTTACCTGATAACTTAGGTACCACAAAAATAGTTCCATCATCTCCAATGCAGCTGACTACTGCATCAAATACTTCCATGTTAGGAATAGTAGGTGGTTTGTAGCATCCATGGCATTTTGGTTCTCGAACTTTGTCCTTACATTCAGATACTTTTTGTTCACTGTTATCAGCAGCCTTTTTGTCAGGGTCACAGTTAATTTTAATACTCGTAGTATCTACTGAACCTACATGTTCCAGGGAGATTTCGAGAGGCTTCTCAGAAAGTGAATCATTGTTCTCTAATTTACTAATTCTGAAATGGTAAAAATAAAACAAAACATATCTCAATGCAAATAAACATAACATTCATGGGGAAAACAATATAAAAAGAATCCTTCAAATATGAGGATAAGTAAAAAATATTGCTATAACAGAAACTCTAACAAATATCAAAATGTGAAGAATCCATTTCTCAAAATATCATCCATCTATGTCTATACTCTTCTGAAGGCGGAGATGTCATCTCTCTGACCTTTCCCTGAGTAATTCTGTGCTCCTCAGGAAACATCCATCAAAGGGCCATTCTGGCACCCTTAAAGGGTTCAAATCATATCCTTTTAGATGATCACTGAGCTCTGAGAAAATAAAAAAGAATCCAGGGGCAAGAACACTGTTAAGGTGGATGGAGCAAGATATCATGGGAAGGGCCTTGCTACCCTTCAAGAATAAGCAGGCACGCATTGTGATGGAAAAAATTCCAACGTGCAATTTTCCTAACCCTTTTTCTCAACCCTTTCTCTCTCTTTTAATTTTCTGAAAACTTCTTCATAATAAGACCCTGTGTCCTTTGAGAAAATCCAGATGACCTTTTTGGAATCCCACAAAGTCACATAACCTTTTAAGCCGATCTCTTTGTTTTCAATTTAACTTGATCAGCAGAGACCCCTCAGAAGTCAACTTGTTTTGCTGAGGCTTTTTCCTTTTGAAGGCATTCTAACCAGGCTTTGACAAGTCTATTACTGAGAGAACTTGTCTGCAATCATACACTGGTCACAGACATACCGTATATACTTGAGTATAAGCCCAAACCAATTATCAGCTGAGGCAACTAACTGTACCACAAAAACTGAATAAAAAATGTGCTGCAGCGTGGCCACATGGAAGGATGCATGAAAAGAGAGCTACAGGGCTGGCCACAACCAGAGCCAAACTGACCCCCTCCCTGGAAGTGGGTGTGGCAGAGAGCCAGAACTGAACCTACAGGTTGGGGAGAGGGGTAAGCATGCCATACCCACATGGAGGCAGGCCATGAAGGAAGAAGCAAAAGAGAGACAGACTGGACCCCACACTGGCACACCAGGCTCAGAGGATGACATCCCTGCAGGGAGCTAATGGGACACAGAGGGGACTGGGCAACCAACAACAGCACGTGTCATGTTGTCCCCTTACTGGAGCAGACTGTGACAGAGGGACATTTCTGGGGTCACATGGAGGGAAGGCAGCGTGGTCTGAACCCCCCAAACAGAGCGAATCAAGAAGGGCGCATACCAGATCAGCAGCTGGAGCAAGGTACAACTACGAAGCCCCTAAGAAGCCCCCAAGTGGGCACTCCAGGCCGGGAGGGGAAGCTCCTGGACAGTCTTGAAGGCCAGCGAACAGACCCAGGATTTTTGTATATCTCTTCTCTCTCTCTCTCTCTCTTTTTTTTTATCTTCTCTCTTTTTATTTTATTTTTAATTTTAATTTTTTCTTACTCATTTACTATTTTCATTTTTAAAAATCAGTTTGGGCTATGTCATAGTTGGTGTACTTACCTGTATAGGATAGGCATGCCCAAGGCGAGAGCAACGGGACCAATGGTACCAGGGAAGGGGGCAGTGTTTTTTTTTTTTAATTAAAAAAAAAGTGCTCAAAAAACTCGGCTTATACACAAGTATATACGGTATGTTTATTCTTGTTTTGTTTGGAATAAATCCATTCCCAAGTAGCAATACTTTTTAACACTTTGTACCTAACAGAATTTCCAACACATAGCTTCAACATTTCCATGTAAGCAAAGGATGCAACAAGCTCAGATCTGGTTGGTATTGGTTGACATGGAGTCATTGCCAACCCATTGTAATTTTACGTGTGTCAAGTGGAACTACACTTCATCAGGCATTGCAAGGCTATGACTTTTCAAAAGAAGCAGGTCATCAGGCCTGTCTTCTGAGGTGTCTCTGGGTAGGTTTCAACCACCAACCTTTCGGCTAGTTGTCAAGCACTTAACCCCTCAAGACATTCAGGAAGTCAGTCCTTCAGAGCCAGGGTAATTTGCCTTCTTTTGGTTTAGAGTGAAACCGTCAAATGACAAGGGAAATAAGCAAGCAAGTATGTCAGTAGAGATTTAAGCATACAAGAGCTGATAGGCCTGGATACAGAAATAAGGAATCCTAAAGAAATTTGTTTCTGAGCTTGTTCCTAAGAATCAGTTTACAGATCATCTTTAAGAGCAAGTGCATTATAATTCAGGTTTGAATATAGATACTTAAAAGTCTCCATCACAGACACTCCCCACCGCACCCCATCCTCCAAAAGAGTCTATACCTCTTTTCCTTCAAAGCCAAACCCTTTTTAATCAAGTATTTAGAAACATCAACACGCTCTCCTTTTTCATCTTTGCAGAAAATTTTCACAGGCAAGGGCCACATTGTGTTGTTCTCCTGGAGTGATTTAAAAGCAGAGTAAATATGATACATAAAAATAAAATCTTTCATAGATTACATATACATCTATATAATAGAACAAATAATAAAGGAGACAGTCAATGTGACAGACAGCTATTTCGAGAAATGCATCGAGTTCATCCATTAATGTGAAAATCTCCCATCCTACCCACTCCCCACCTTGCGTGCACATGCACACACAGAAAATTAAAACTTTTCATTCCAGAATAAATCCACACTAAACATGCCAGTTACACATTACTTTACTCCCCTAAACTCCTAGAAAATTTAAAAATGCAAAATAGATATCCCAGGATGTGCCTTTTTTCTTAACAAAATTTTAAGAAAGGAAAGAACTAGAAAAAGTATATTCTGCTTCATATGGAAAAAAAGCCTACAAAAATGGAGAAATCACATACAGAAATAATGTGGGAACTGCGCTTTATATAGGAATATTCTAATCATAAATGTAATACAATATTTAAATTAGAAAAAAGTGAAGGGGCAAAGAACACTTTTGTGAATTTTTTAAAAGATACATATATCTTATATTCATACACAAATGTGCACACGTGTACACAAAAGCACTTTTTACACAGTATCATTTGACCAGATGCCTAGCTTTCCAGTTTGTCAACAAACATTAAAACCCTCAAGATTCAGAAATGCACTCTAGCATCTACTTACGTTTTCTAACATGTACATTACCTACTCAAAAATACTATTTTAGAAATGTTTGACTCATTCACAAATCATCTATGGCATATATATTACTGAACAGGCCTTATACCTTGAGATAAGACCCAAAAAAAGTGATTAAAGAATTCCAGTTTTCAGTTATTCTCTCAACAAGGAAATATATGAAAATGATTAGAATACATCAGTGAAATAGTACCTTGTCTACTGTAACACTTTGCTTTGCCACACACCTGTATGATTATAGTTGCGATAGCTCCAGTTAGGTAAAATGAAAGACAGTCACAAGCTGTTGCTGTCCATTTGTCACTTCCACCTGTTGGTCTAGTACAAAAGAATTTGACACCTTATTTTTATAAAAAAACCACATAATATATCTGCATATAAAAAAATACACAAGGCAGCTCATACATTTGAACTAAGTATGTAGCAAGAGATTAAATGAAACATAGTTTGGTATATTTTCACAATTTTCCTCATTAATATTCCATATTACATTACTTATGTGTATATCTATTGTGCTGTTACAATGGGAATCCCTAAAAAGTAGGTACATTTTAAATATTTTTAAAATCGTTAGAGATGTTTTATATATATGAACTCCAAGAGAGCAGAGATTACATATCACATTATGTCCATTATTATATCCCTATGGTCTAATATAGTGCCTGGCACACAGAAGGTATTTAGGAAAAAAATGTAATGGAAAGAAGAAAGAATTATCCCTCTGCAATGAGTATACCCAAACATTTTTGGAAGTTTTTTCTGAAATTCAAATCTACTCTGAATTGCTGCCTCGAAAATCAGCCTCATCATATATGGAAATTTTACTTTTTATCATGCACAGTCAAAAGTACTCAATAAATTTTTATGACCATTAAGTGAAAAGCAAAATACACAATGTTACTATCCTCTTTTTTACAGTTTACAGTTTAAACTTGTTGATTTTGGATGCTTTCTCAATATCCCATCTATCCCCCAAGAATAAAAACAAGTACCTCGTTGGTGGGTCACTGGCAGAATTACAGGTGGGAGAACAGAGTTTAATTCCCAGCCAATGTACATCAAGTGCAACCACCACCTGTGAGTGGAAACTTGCTACGGTGTTGAATATATTTCATCAGGCTTCCAGATGCTGATGGACTATGAAGAAAGGCCTGGTAACCTACTTCTAGAAAGCAGCCAGTGGAAACCCTATGAATCCCAACGATTAGCTTAGCAACAAAGCAACCAATCATGGGAATGGCATAGGACTGGGTATTGTTTTCCCTTATGCACGGAGTGGCCCTGAGTGAGGACCACTCTATGGTATCTACCAATAATAATTCCTAGAGACGACATTATAATATGATGCAGGCTCCATAAACATGCTAGCTTCACTGGAGTAAATAATTGACTGGCCACTCTGTCCATGTTAAATAATTTATAAGTGATAACTAATCAAACCAACAACTAAGCATGAAGTTTTCTGCAAAACATTACGACATAGTTGGATTTGGAGGATACAATGCTAAGTGAGATAAGTCAATCACATAAAGACAAGTGTCATGTGATTCCATTTTTATAAGAAGGCAAGAACAGGTGTATGTACAGAGACTGTTCCCTGCTGGTTACTAGCAACTCAAAAGATGAGATAGGAACCTTAGGGGGAAGTATATTAATGGAGGAGGAAAGATTCAGAAAAGGAGGGTGGGTGAACAACTTGAAGAAGGTAATCTTCATGAATGTCACATAAAGAATGTTACGACTTGTACATGTAGAAACTACTTAATTATTGCATGTTTTGCTGTGTAGTCTCAAGGACAGAAATAAAATTAAAAAATGAAATCTCATCTCTTTGGTTACGTTTAACTTGATATCTTAATAGATTTTTCAGGAGGTGCTCCAATGAACAATATTCTCTGACTTCTTGTCTGTGGTCTTTATACGAGTGGATGTCTGTGGGATATGAACCTTACAGTTTGAAATTTTCATTCTTTGAGACCTTAAAATATGCTCCTCCATTATCTTCTCTCATAAAACAGGGTGATGATAGTGTGATGTTCTTTCTCTAACAGAGATAGAACTATTTATAGTTCTATCAATAATTTTACTAGATTCTCTCTCAAGTGTTGGCCATTCAGAAATGGTTTTCCTAGTTAAGCAATTTGGACTTGCAATATAGTTTCAAATAATCTTTTATTTTAGGTACATTTCTTTTGTTCTATTTCTCTGGGTTGCCTATTACACTTCCATTGGGTTGTCCTTGAAGATAAAAGTGAAGCCTCCAGTTGAAAGACTGGCGGATTCTATGGGCAAAATATTGAAGGGTGCAGTAAACATACAAAGAATATAGGAGAAATGCACAGTCACTGTATCAAAGAGAATTGATCAATGTTCAACGATTTCAAATAGTAGCATATGATCAGGAACTGACGGTACTGAAAACAGGAGTTCAAACTTTGCTGAAGACACTGACAAAAAACAAGGCTCCAAAAACTGTGGGAAAATAAACTGAAATGTTTCAGCAAACTATGTAGTGCTGGAAGCACTCACTGGTCTATCCACCAAGCTGTTTAGAAAACAGCTACCTGGACAACTGACTGGAAGATATCCTTATTTGTGTCCATTTCAAAGAAAGGTGACCAAACAATGTGCAAATGATAAAAAATCACTAATATCACATGGAAGTAAAATTTTGCTGAACATAATCTTAAAAAATGGTTGCAGGAGTACACTGAGAGGAAGGTGCCAGAAACTCAAGCTAGATTCAAAAGAGGATGGAGATTGAGATATTACTACTGACACCAGTGTATCTTGGCTGACAGCAGAGAATATCAGAAAAAAGCCTTACTTGTGGTTTTATGTGCTATCCAAATGCTGTGTATCACAACAAACTATGGATGACATTAGGAAGAATGGGAATTCCAGAACATTTAATTGTCCTCCTATATACCTGTATGTAGATCCACAGGAAATTGTTCAAAGAAGAGGATACTGATGACTTGAAATCAGGAAAGGTGAATATCATGGCTGTATCTTTTCACCATAGTTATTCAATCTATGGGATGAGCAACTAATATGAGAATCTGGACTATATAATGAAGAATGGAACACTAGGATTGAATAGCTTGTGATATGCAGATGACACAATCTTGCTTGCCAAAAAGTGCAGAGGACTTAAAGCACTTAC